TAACATTCCTTTTATAGGCACTACACCCTGGAGTTTCTTTGCTTGATTTGGTTCACAGTCATGTGTTTTGTTTGTTTGTTTGTTGTGAGAGAAGAGTCTCACTCTGTTGCCCAGGCCAGGCTGGAGGGCAGTGGCACGATCTCGACTCACTGTAACAACCTCCGCCTCCCAGGTTCAAGGGATTCTCCTGCCTCAGCCTCTCAAGTAGCTGGGATTACAGGCATGCGCCCCCATGCCCAGCTAATTTTTGTAATTTTAGTAGAGATGGAGTTTCACCATGTTGGCCAGGCTGGTCTCAAACACCTGCCCGCAGGTGATCCTCCCTCCTTGGCCTTCCAAAGTGCTGGGATTACAGGCATGAGCCACCACACCTGGCCCAAATCCATGTTTTCAGAGAGTTGGGGCACCAGCTGCTGGTGGCTGTGAGGCACTTCAGGCAGTTGACGTGCAGGGTCGGCTTCAGCAAGAAGGGAACTTGCAGCTCCAAACAAGGACAGTTTTGGGTCCTCCATTCTCTCCTTGGTCTTTAACTCTTGTAAGAAAAGAAGACCTTTGCTGTTACTATTCTGCACAACCTACAGCCTGTTAGACATTTTTATATTGAGTAAGTATTATGGATTCATAAGCACTCTGGATGCGTGTGGGGTAAGGGGTGGTGGGGTTCCCTGACATATTCAGAGGCATGGACTGAGGCGTCTCAGGCCATTATCATACCAGGGGGACTGCAGTGGCTGAGGGCATTTCAGAACTGAAGCCCAAAGCTGCCACACAGCCCTGTATGATTAGGAGCAGGGAACTAAGTACTTTGTACAAATTACTCTACTGGATGCCATGTTAGATGAAAATATGTCCAGCTGAAACTCAAGCCAACACATTTTGTCCAAAATTTTTTTAAAAAACACTTTGTTTTACATGTTTGGAAGAATAAAAAGAAAAAGAAAATCAATTCCAGATAAAACTTAGTTTTACAACTTTCTTTGCATCCAACTTGAGTCTGTACCTTGACTAATCTATTTCTTCCAGGCTCTGCCACACAGTGCCCAGTCCCAGGCTCTGTTTGCTCCCAGTTCTGCTGGCTTTGGTGCCCGTGACTCAGAACTTCATTCTCTTTCCACTCAGCTTTTCAGAGTGACCATTCTCCTGCATGATCTACTTCTTCCCAAGCAGTCTTTCTCCAGTCTCATGTCCCCTCCTCTCACCAAGTCTCACCCCTATTCTCAGGACACTGCCCCCCGCCAATCCCATCTGGCCTTAGCACCCCGACACAGATCTCTGGGAGGAGAAACTAGATACCACGCTCTAAGCTGTAAAATAAGCATCTTCAAAAAGGTATACAAAAAGTCACTCATAGCAGAAAACAAATTCTGAATATCTCTGTTTCTGCATGTAGAATGCAAATACCCAAATGCCTATAAAAGGTACTAAGTGCTAAGATCCCAAAACAAGTAAGATGCTATTGGTTGTCCTTAAAAATAAAAAAGCAGTTTAGTAGCAGAAGCACGCATAGCACCGTGAAGATGGGGGTGATGTAGTCCTTAAATATGCACTTCAAGGAGCTCCTACAAAACAGTGTAACTGAGAGGGTAGGTGCAGTGCTCTGAAATAGCCAGGGTCCTGTCCGGTGCCTGTGATCCCAGCTACTCAGGAGGCTGAGGTGAGAGGATCACTTGAACTTGGGAATTTGAGGCTGCAGTGAGCTATAATTGTGCCACTGCACTCCAGCCTAGGCAAGACCCTGTCTCTAAAAGGGCGGGGGCGGCGGGGGGGAGAGAGAGAGAGAGAGGAAGAGAAGAAATGAAAGAAAGAAAGAAAGAAAAGAAAGAAAGAAAGAAGGAAAGAAAGAAAGAAAGAAGGAAAGAAAGAAAGAAAGAAAGAAAGAAAGAAAGAAGGAAAGAAAGAAAGAAAGAAAGAAAGAAAGAGGAAGGAAGGAGGGAAGGAAGGAAGGAAGGAAATGAAACGTGTCGGGGATGAAGCTGAAAGTAAGCGGCGCCTGGCTCCTGCAGGGCCTTGAAGAACCTCATTAAGGAGATGGGATTTTATCCCAACAGCAATTGGCAGCCACTGCAGAGTGTTTGTTGTTTTTTGTTTGTTTGTTTGTTTGTTTGAGAGGGAGTCTTGCTCTGTCGCCCAGGCTGGAGTGCAGTGGCGCGATCTTGGCTCACTTCAAGCTCCGCCTCCCGGGTTCACGCCATTCTCCTGCCTCAGCCTCCCGAGTAGCTGGAACTACAGGCGCCCGCCAATTTTTTGTATTTTTAGTAAAGACAGGGTTTCACCGTGTTAGCCAGGATGGTCTCGATCTCCTGACCTCGTGATCCGCCCCACCTCGGCCTCCCAGAGTAGCTGGAATTACAGGCGTGAGCCACCACGCCCGGCCCATTACAGAGTTTTAAGCAGATGAACGGCTCTATTCACAGCAGCCAAAAGGTGGGAGCAACCTGTGTCCATTGACAGGTGAATGACTAAACCAAATGTGCTCTATATTACAATGGCACATTATTGAGCTTTAAAATCTGACACCTGCTACAAGATGGATGAAGCTTCAGGACATAATGCTAAGTGAAATAAGCCAGACACAACAGGACAAATACTGTATTATTCTACTTCTATGCGGTATCTAGAGTATTCAAGCTCATAGAGATAGAAAGTAGAATGGTGGTTGCCAGGGGCTGGAAGGATGAGCAGTTTTTGTGTGTACCCACCCAAATCTCATGTCAAATTATAATTCCCAACATTGAGGAAGGGAGCTGCAATTAAAAACAGCAACATAATGACAACAACAACAAAAAGGCACTGTGACTGTACTACAGCATTGTACAGAGATTAGACTGGAGCAGATAAGACTAGAGGCCAGAGGCCAATTAAAAGCTGCTGAAGTAATGGAAGTAAGAGAGGATAATTGTCTGACCTGGGCAGGTGGCAGTTGATTGATGCTGCCATTTGCAAGTTAAGGTAGACAGAAGGAGCAGGGAATGTGGACGATGGTAGATTCTGTGTGAGTGTGTGTGTGTGTGTATACTCTATTATTTTTACCCTCTATCAAACATTATGGCATGCTGAGATACAGAAGGGTGGATATGTCTAAAGAGTTGGCTATAGGACCATGAAAATGTAGAAATATAGATTAAGAAAAATAGAAGAGGTCCAAGAAGTATCTATGGATGCTTCAAATAGAATATAAAATAGAACTTAAAAAGAAACATCAGGAATTTAAAAATACAGTGTTGGGGACTTGTCTCTCAATCCTCATTATGCAGGACATCACTGGTTTTGTTGTTGTTGTTTGCTTGTTTTTTGAGACAGGGTCTCACTCTGTTGCCCATGCTAGAGTGCAGTGGTATGATCTCAGCTCACTGCAACCTCTGCCTCCTTGGTTCAAGTGATCCTCATGCCTCAACCTCCAGGGTAGCTGGGATTACAGGCATGCACCACCAAGCCCAGCTAATTTTTGTATTTTTAGTAGAGAAGGGGTTTCACCATGTTGGCCAGGCTGGTCTTGAACTCTTGGCCTCAAGTCATCTGCCCACTTTGGCCTCCCACAGTGCTGGGAGTATAGGTGTGAGCCACCATGCCCATCCAGATATCACTGGTTTTAAAGCATCCTTTGTAGTCTCACTCAGAACATCAGTTCAGAAAATCTTTATTACCAATAGATACATGACTTTACAAAAACTTCTAGTATATAAGGACATCTTGCCCATTCTTAATAACACGTGTTGATAATAAAGACACTCGTCATTTATATGATGAAGTTACATTCTAGATCCTATTCATTTTCCATTTCTAATAGCCCCATTTTATTACTTGCAATGATTTTCAACTCTGCTATCAAAAGTAAGTCAACTGTTGCTCTGATTACAATTGGATGTTTCAAACTATCATCTTGATTACAAATGAATGAGTTGCATGCTGCTGTTGGAGAAACTTCGCATATTTCAAAGAAAAGAGTAGAAATATGTCTGATGGCAAAATATAGTATGATAGCATTTATATATAAAATCAACACTATAGTTACCCTATTTTATTATTTTTAAGCTGTACACAATCTTCAGCAGTTTCCTGAACTTTATATGTTAGAACTTTATATGTTAGAGCCTGAACATATTTGCATATGACATTTCAGTATAAAGCATTAGGACTATTTTTAAATAAATGTAAAGGCATTGATATAAAAAGAGCACTGTTCTCTTTCTAAATTGTTCCCTTAAAAGGCCTTAAAATTAATTCTGTGATGTCACAGCTCAAAATTTTTGAATGACTGACATTTTAAAAATTCTAACTCATCCTGGATACCAATGCACCCGAGATGAGCACCTTTCCTAGTTATGACATTTCTGGAGTTGTCACCACCTATTAACTGTGGCTTGGTTGGAGTTGTAAAATTTGATATTTGGCTGGTAGAAAGTAGTCACTGTATATGTTAAAATAGCTATAAAAGATTCTTACCTCCAGCCCGAGAAGGATCTATTGTTCTTTGTGATTTGTTCTTTCATTTTGTACCCTAAAAGATATTAGCGTATGAAATTGGCAGAATTGCCCTTGGCCCATGTCACCTTTCAGAGTTGCCAAGCAAGCATCATGAGATTGGTAAAGCCAGCTCTATCGCATCTCTTGGTGGCACTAGAACACACTTTCTTAAGGAAAAAGCCAGCATTTCACCCACTGCCTGGCATGGCAGTCAGAGCCAGGAAGGGCTTTGGTGAATATGCCAGGACGTGCGGTGATCCAAATGATCCCTTTCCTTAGGTCTGTGACCCAGTCTCTACAACTTCCTACAACTCCTTCCAGGACTTTCTGACTGACAGCTTGGGAAGAATCAGGAAAGAACACCTGCCAAGCTGAGCAGAACAGCTACTTCCTGTTTATGTGTTTTTGCTGGAACATCTCATTTCTTCTTCAGGACATGTTTGGATATACACGGGAATAGAAATGCCAGAGTGCAAACAGATTTATCACTGTCAGAAAAAAAAAAAAAAGCCCTAATATTCACAGAAGATGGGGTCTTGGTTTCTTTATTCCATGTTATTATTTGTTAAGACTGTTAACAAAAAATAAGGCTTTTTTTCCTCTGAACTTAAAAACTATAAATTTACTTGAGTCACTAACAGTGCTCTCAGTCTAAGAGAAAATTACATAAGAACAACAATAATGAACAAAGCACTTAGCATGTGCCAGGCACTGTTCTAAGTGCTTTTACATATTCAGTCATTACTTTTCACAACAGCTCTATGAGGTAAGTACTATTATCTCCATTTTACAGATGAAGAAACTGAAGCACGGAGAAACTAAGGTTAAGTCAGACAGCTAGTATGTGGCAGAGTCAAGATTTAAACCTAAGAAACAGGGTCTGGAATCTGTACTCTTAACCATTATGCCACACTGAGATGGTTCCCAGACAGCAGGAAGAAGAAGTGTTCCTTCTCCATAGGCAACAGTTCACTCATTCTTTTGGTGCAGTGATGTACAGTCTGTACTGAACTCTCCAATATAAAACGTGGGGAATTAAAACGTATACAGAGCCTGAAAACTCACTCACTTTTATAGTGGTTCTAAGCAAAGAAAATGCTTTATGGGTTCAAACAAGTCAAATTTATGAACTCAATTTTTTTTTTGGGGAAAACGGCCGGCAAGCCCCAATTAAAAAAACCCCCCCCCAATAAAAAAAACATTGCAATGGAACTATGTGAACACTTTTTCCCCTTTCCCTTAGAGAAAGGGAATTAAGTCAAAGGTGATACATATCCCTGGAGTTAGCTGAAAAAGAAATGGGAAGAAATCTGAGAATAGCATTGTGGAACTTGGTTTCCACAATTCTCAAATTTAACCATGAAATTAAAATTAGATACAGGGGATAGATTGTCCTGGCCATAAGCAAGTCAGGGAGTGAGCGCCAAAGAATTCATATACTCTTCCTTCTACTTATTTTAAAATTCCACCTTCTGAAGGACCTGAGAAATATGATCACTACTAAACTCACTCGTGTATTAAATAATGATTAGGAAGAGCTAAGAGTTGACACAGAGGAAGGCCAGGAAACATGGTAAATGTGGGTAAGGGCATTAAAAAGTTAGCAGACTACACCATATCTCTAAAGCTTGATGATTTTGCTGAAGTATTGTAACTCAGGAGAGAAAGCAAGACACCCTCATGGGAACTCTTTTGAGTTTTTCATTCTTTCCCCCTCCACTCAGTTCCATCCAGATGTGGCAGCCTCAAGTAGCTAGAAGAAAAAAATTTGGCCAGAAGCAGTGGCTCAGGCCTGTAGTCTCAGCACTTTGGGAGGCCAACGTGGGCGGGTTGCTCAAGCTCGCAAGTTTGAGGCCAGCCTGGACAACATGGCAAACCCTGTGTCTACAGAAAATACAAAAATTAGCCAGGCATGGTGGCACATACCTGTAGTCTCAGCTATTTGCAGGCTGAGGTGCGAGTATCACTTGAGCCTGGGAGGTTAAGAATGCAGTAAGCCATGATTATGCCACTGCACTTCAGCCTGGGTGACAAAGGGAGACCCTGTCTCAAAAGCGAAAAAAAAAAAAGGTCAGGAACTGTGGCTCACGCCTGTAATCCCAGCACTTTGAGAGGCTGATGCGGGCGGATCACGAGGTCAGGAGATCAAAACCATCCTGGCTAACATGGTGAAACACTGTCTCTACTAAAAACAGAAAAAATTAGTCAGGCATGGTGGCATGCGCCCGTAGTCCCAGCTACTCCGGAGGCTGAGTCAGGAGAATTGCTTGAACCTGGGAGGCAGAGGTTGCAGTGAGCCGAGGTCCCGCCACTGCACTCCAGAGGCAACAGAGTGAGACTCCATCTCAAAAAAGAAAAAAAAAAGGAAAAAGAAAAATTTTGACAATAATTGAGAAAGTAAACTAAATGATCAAGACAGATGTATAAAAATATATGTATAATGTAATGTTTATTAAGCTTGCTTGAAAAACAGAATTCTTTTACTTTAAATTTCTCCATTTCAATGCATGAAAGGAATGGTCCACAGTAAAACAAAAGCAGTATTTCCAAGAATGTTAGTTGTCTCTAGCTCTGTATACATTTTCTACCGTCATATGTCTACCGCCATAACCAATGCAGAGTTGTTTAACATGAAGTTTTGACCCAAACTGGACTATGAAGGGGCAAACTGGAGTGAAACAAACTCAAAACAAGCAAACCAACACCAACAGCCAAAAAAGTGTTCTTCTTGAAATTTATATACCATACTTACATAAAAGAAGTTAAACCAATTGATCATTATGTACATACATTAGTGAATATTAGTATTTTACATTTACAAATACATGTGCATATGTAATCAAGTAAAAAGAAAAATGTTAAATAATTTTTATCAGTGAAAAATACATAAAACATGACTAATACTTCAATTTGAGTGCTTGTTCGATTCAGGGCTTAAAAATATTTGGAAAAATAATCCCAAAATATAACCTGGTGAAAGATATTTAAAAAGTGAAAGAGATAAGAAAATAGTAAGTGTTTGGTGTGATTTTAATAAGTAGGGGAAATGAGCAGAAATAAGATCCATATTTGGGGAGGAATCGCATAGCACAGACCGGATGAAGAATCGGAAAGGAAGAACGTGGTTTTTCCCAAGGCCAATTTCGCTCAGAATGGAACAGAACCAGGGAATTTTCAGGACAAAGCAAATGAACTGAAGTTTCCATCATGAGTTCATTCTATTAGCAGATGAACAACTGACTCCTTCCTTGAATCTTTATTAGGAGGCAGGCCTCAGACATTCACCCTACAGTTAGATACAGCGTCAGTTCCTTACTTGGCTTCTGTCTAGAGGCTAAGAGTGCAAGGTGACATATAATGACATTGCACAACTTTGTAGGAATCTATCTTTACTGAAGAACCATCGGACGGCATCAACTAACCATCTTTCCAAGCACGGGCTTGTTTGCAATTCTTGAACCTCACGTTTCTTCTCTAAAGACTGAATTCCGGAAAGAGTTGGGGCAACTCCCTGCAGGGCAGAGATGGTGCGTCCTTCCCAGCGTGCTCCATGGTCTGGGATGGGCGGTGGCGGCCCTGGCCGGCCTGCTACTTGAGGCAGGGACAGCAGAAGCAGCAGAGGGTCCGGCAGGGGTTCTTTTTCTTGTACTGCACGGCCTTCCGCACCTGCGCCTTGGCCTGGCCGGTGTAGTCGACCGTCTTTTGTACGTTGAGCTCGATGACGTTCAGGGTGTCGGCCTGCTTCTCCACCAGCACTGCCATCTGCAAGAAGAGCTCGTGCACGTCGCGGATGCGGCTCTCCAGGCGCAGCAGCTCGCGGTGGCGGCTCTCGATCTCGTTAAGGGCGGCCCGCGCGCCTTTTACATCGGCCAGCAGGTTCTCGGAGAACATATCCCACTTGCCCTGCTCGAACATGTCCTCGATCTGGTCGCCCGAGACGTCCTTCCCCATGATCTCCAGCTGGCGCTGGATGCGGATCTTGCAGTTGTCGCGCTGCTTCATCTCGGCCTGGTTGTAGTCGTGCATGGCGCGCTGGAAGGTGAGGGTGAGCGCGTTGTACTGCGCCCGCGAGATGCGCGCCACCGCTGAGTGCGGGCCGTGCTGGGCCTCGGCGACCTCGCTCAGCTCCTTCATGGCGCGTAGCTTGCAGTGGATGACCTCGCCCCGGGCCTTGATGGCCTTGGCGATGGAGTTGGTGTCGCGCTTGATGCTGCTGAGGCGCCGCATGGACGTGAGGAAGCGGGCGTTCTGCTTTCCCAGGCGCTTCACGTCGGCCACCAGCAACTGGTTTTCATCCTGGATGTCCTGGATGTCTCGGTACAGGGACTCCAGGATGTGGTCCGTCTCGAACACGATGTCCTCGTGGGGCGAGTCAAATTCATCGTCCCCGTCTGGGAACTGCTGGTCATATTGCTTGGACAAGTCCAGAAGTTCTGCTAGCCGGTCTTTCATTTTGCCTGCAAGTAGAGATAAGTCAGTTAAATTTCTCTACTGAGAGTCAAGTATTTGCCTTCAAGGGATTGAAACTTAACATTTTACTCAGCAGTCCCAATTTTTTATTCCTAGGTGTGGGAAATAAGTGCACTAAAGGAGCTAAATGTTCTGACATTTTGCTTACAAGGAAATAAATAAGATGACTGGACAACATGAAACAGTTGCATTTTAAGGCCCATATGCACCTGCAGTTCAGTATCATAGCCGTCTAGAACTCAATCAACAATTTAAAATTTTAGATTGCACTGGGAAACCATCTCTTTTTCTTGCTTTATGTTTTTCAATCATCACAAATTAAAACAGACACAGAAAAAAAAAAAAAAGAAAAAAGAAGAAAGACTTGCAAACTTAAGCATTTTTAATTGAGGACAATCTACAAGGCCTTGGGGCCAACATCTAAATGTTGCCTATTTTGTGTCTATTTCAGCACTGGTAAGCATCCCCTCCTGTACATACTAACAACTCTTAAAATAGTTACCATGCAAATCATGATTTAATTTTTTTTCTCTTAAAGATGTTGTAAAAGTAAAACATGCTTAAGGTAAAATGACAACAACAAAATACAGAAATCTAAGTGTAAAATTTAGAAGTTGAGGTTTCCTGACTCCTCTTTTCAGTATCATTCCCTAATGATAATCATTGTAAATAACACTGCTTTTTAAAATGCTTTTATATGGAAAATTCCAATCATATGTGGCCTAGTAGCAATAATATAACACATTCCCATTCATTCATCATGTAGCAGCAATGTTTGCCCACTTTTAATACCTTTTTGAAACAAATTGGCAGCTCAGGCAGAATGTTCATGTTTTTACAAGGATGGTTCTGGTAATTCCTCTGCTTAATAAGGCAAAGTAATAGTCTCTATGTCCATATTGTTTTTCAGTGAGGTAAAAAACTTCCATTTTTAGTAGCATGTATATATGCTAATATAGGGAACATCTTGAGTTTATACATGAGACTTCATGATGAGAAAGATTCCTTTTCTACTACACAATTTGCAGCAAAGAGGGGAAAAGTAATAACACTTAATGGTTACACAGTCTATCAGGGTTCTTGGTCTCAAATTAAAAGCTTCTTTCAAGTTGAAGTAATTCATTTTATATCACCACTAATGGAATGCTGACAAGTTGGATTTGGTGATAAATGGAAAATGGTGAAATATTAACCATGGCCTTTCATCTACCGTGATCATCATTTACATAAATTAAGCAGAGGTTTTATTCTATGATGGTGATTTTTAATATAACAATATAAGCTGCTTAAAGTGCCACCATTTCTGATATCTGGTGGCTATAATCAATACCAGACGTTCTCAATGATGGGGAAGATGATTCTCCTAGCAGTATGGTTGACAGGCAGAATAAAGATCCAGGACCAAAACTATGCCTTCACTTGGTCTGAATTTCTTGATATTCAGCTGTTTCCTCACTTTGAACAAAATTGAAAGACAAACCACCAACTGGGGAGAAATTATAATATATGACAGACAATGGGTTAAGATACTTAATATATATATTTCTAAGCTACCAAAAAATCTACTTACCCCAAGACAGTGAAAGGGCAATTCAGAGAAGATATAAATGACAGAGAACATAAACGTATGTTATATATGCCTGATATTTTCTAGGCATCTTTCATGTGATACCCTCTTTAGTCTTCACACAGATTCTATGAGTAGGTACTGCCATTATCAGAGTTGGTGTGACCATAGGGAGATCAAGGAATTTACTCAAGGTCACCAGTAAGTGAACACTCAGGCTTTAGAACAGCACCACTTAACCACTGCACGAAATAATCCTTATCAAAAGTATAAAAATATAGTCACAAAAGACTTCTGTATTAAACAAGGAAATGCAAATTAAACTGCTGAGAATTTTTTTGCCCACAGAGTTAGCATGAGTTTTTTAAAAACAATAATTTTTCAAATGGGTAAGCATTCTGGGAACTCTTAAAACATACTGGTAATTCCATCTCATGCCAGTCAGAATGGTGACTATTAAAATATCAAGAAACAACAGATGCTGGTGGAGGCTGTGGAGAAATAGGAATGCTTTAACACTGTTGGTGGGAATGTAAATTAGTTCAACCATTGTGGAAGACAGTGTGGCAATTCCTCAAAGATTTAGAACCAGAAATACCATTTGACCCAGCAATCCCACTACAGAGTATATACCCAAAGGAATATAAATCATTCTATTATAAAGACACATGCATGTGAATGTTCACTGCAGCCCTACTCACAATAGCAGAGACACAGAACCAACCCAAATGCCCATCAATGTTAGACTGTACTATACAGCCGTAAAGAGGAATGAGATCATGTTCTTTGCAGGGACATGGATGAAGCTGGAAGCCATTATCTTCAGCAAAGTAATGCATGAACAGAAAACCAAACACTGCATGTTCTCACTTACAAATGGCAGCGGAACAATGAGAACACCTGGACACAGGGAGGGGAATAACGCATAGTGGGGCCTGTCGGGGAAGGGCGGGAGAGGGGAGAGCATTAGGGAAAAGAGCTGATGCTTGCTGGGCTTAATACCTAGGTGATGGGATGATCTGTGCAGCAAACCACCATGGTACATATTTACCTATGTAACAAACCTGCACATCTTGCACCTGTACCCCGGAACTTAAAAACATGAAATAAAATAAAATAATACAATCAATATTATCATTCAGGGTCCTGAGACCTCTCTCAGGTTCTGCTGAACTAAGCAATTAAATTAAATTTTCTTCTAGATTAAAAAAATAGTCTAATTTAAAACTCCTGTGGTGTCTTTGTTTTTGCAACTTAATGATTTTGCAAATAAAGTCGATTAATTATTTTTAAAAATTGGTAATTGATAGAATCTTTCTGGAAGAGTTTAGTAATATGTATCAAAAGCTTTTCAAGTGTGCATTTGTTTTGACATGTGCATTTATTCTAAAGATATAATGCAAAAGT